AAGCAAGCAGGACCAACCATATATGTGTGTATTTTTTATTTTTTTTTAATTGACCAAAAAAAAAAAAAAAACCATATATTTTTTTTGCTAAAACCATATTGGAATCGCAAAGTAAAATTGTAAACTCCGAAAATCGGAAATTTTCTACACAACTTTAAATGGCTAAGAGTCTAATACACAAATCCATAGCTCATTAGAAATACAAGAAATTATCAGTTTCCCTAATTCTACTTTGTATCAATCATACTGTAGGCCGGAATTTTCCAAACGGCATCCACCATTGTTTTCCTCACAGCTGCAGCAAGATCCCATCTCTCCTTCCCAGCATTAATGTTTGACAAAACCACGTATCGTCCACAGTGTTGTGGCTGCAACTCGAGAAGTTTCTCACCAACTTCATTTCCCAGCTCAGCAGTCCCATGAATCTTAAGCCTGGTTTGGTATGAGGTGATTCTGAAAAAAGCTGGTATCAAAAAAAGTTGAGAGCTGTTTTTGTGTTTGGTAAACATTCAGCTTCAGTTTTCTTTCACAGTTTTAGGTGAAAAAAAGCTAAAAACAAGAAGCTGCAAAACCTAGCTTTGAAAAACCGGTTTTTTTTCACATCTGTTTTACATAAAAGTTTACCAAACACTATAATACTGCTTTTTTTTTTTTTTTTTCAAAAGCACTTTTACAAAAAAGTTTACCAAACACTCTGCTACTTTATTTCACAGCTGCTTATTCTCTCACAGCACAGCAGAAGCAGTTTTTTTTTCAAGCACAGCAATACCAAACCAGCCCTTACAAGAACCTAAAAGAGCCCCTAATACAGAGGCATCAGGCTCGAAAGGCATGCCTTTGGTATCGTTTGGTATGCAGACGGGACGGGACGGAACGGAACGAAGCGGGAGCAAAGATGCCCTCGGATGGAAACAAGGAGGAAGAAGAAGGAGACGGAGAGGTTATAATTTTGTGTTCCACAGATGTGGAACGAGTCGTTCTAGGGGGGTGAGGTGGAACGAAAATCCACCCAAAACTCGTCCCGTGGAACAGCTCGTTCCACCCGTTTTAGGCGCACCAAACGTGGGACGGAACGCCTTGTCTCACTCTGTTCCGTCCCATCCTACGTACCAAACGGTACCTTTAATAACTTCAATTGCCTCCCAAAACAACCCTGTTCTGCCCAAGAGGTCAACCACACACCCGTAGTGTTCCATTGTTGGCTCAACGCCAAAATCATTGGTCATTGATCTAAACAATTTCGAACCAAACTTCACCAGTTTTCCACAAGCAAATGTTGTAATAACTGCGACAAATGTAACCTCATTAGGCTGCAACCTCTCGATCTTCATTTTTTCAAACAAGTCCAAAGCTTCCTTCTCCTTACCATTCAAAAAAGTGTAGAAATCATCGCATTCCAAGTACAAACTTCTTTAACTACCACTTGTTGGTACACATATCCGGCACTGTTCAAACAACCAGTCTTCCTGTAAAGATGCACCAATGCAGTCGCCAAAAACGCAGTCAATTCAATCCCATTCCGAATAACATGCCCATGTATTTGCTTCTCCCAATAAATAGATCCCCACCCACCCAAATTAGCACAAGAAGAAAGCACACTAACATAAGTAGCTTCATTTGGCTTCACAAAACAACCCATCACATTCTCATGATTCATCATCATTTGAAAAAACCGAATTTCGTCGCTAAGACACCCATTTCTCCCAAACTCGTTTATAACGCTTGTCCATGAAACCACGTCCCTTTCCAGCATGCTTTCAAATAGCAAAACAGCAGAACCTATATACCTATTCTTCCCAAACCCATCAATCATCGCATTGCACGCAACCACACATGGTTCAGACATTTCCTCAAACACCTTACACGCATCGCACAATTTACCAAGCTCGGCATAGAAGCTCACAAACGAGGTCTGTATCAAAGGGTCGCGCAAAATGCCACGTTTTACGACTTGGGTATGAAGCGGAGAGCCCAGACGGGGCGACGAGGAGGAGGAAGAGGTGGCTGCAGCGGCTTTGATAAGCGGAGGGAATGTGTGGCTGTTGGGAGGGGCTTGGTGGGTAAGCATGTGGATGAAGAGGAGGAGGGTCTTGCGGGGTTGGCTGAAACCGAGATGGGCTCTGATCAAAGTGTTGTAGAGGAGGGTTGGCATCCATTTGGAAGCGGAAGGTTTAGGGTTTTGGTTGTGGAGGAGATGACCGTTGGTGATTAGGCGGGAATGGATCTGTTTGATTTGGTTAGGGTGCTTGAGGAAGCATTGGAGGAGTTGAAGTAGAGACTCGGGTGATGACCGTGGTATAACACCAATTCATGTGTATCAAAAATTGTGCTTGCTATTTTATCATATTTGTTTTAAGGAAATTGTTATTAGCACTCCAAAAATCTCATTCTACACTCCAAACTTTCTATGTTAGGAAAAAAAATACACTTATGAGGAGTGTGAATGAGATTTTTGAAGTGCCAATAACACTTTATATAATATATATAATGGAAATTGTTATTGACACTTCAAAATTTTTATTCTACACTCCAAACTTTCTATATTTAGAAAGAAAAATACACTTGTGAGGAGTGTAGAATGAGATTTTTGAAGTGCCAATAACACTTCCCTTGTTTTAAAACTAATTATAAAACTGGGTGAGAGGGAGAAGGGAAGGGTGAGAGAGGAACGCTCAGGCGCATGAGAATTGTGTCCTCATGCTTTAGTCTTATATCTTTATTTTATACGAATCATAATGAGTTGTCTTACCTTAAAAGTAGTACAAAGTGCATGAATAATGATCACATTCCTAATTATTAATTCAACTCATAACAATATTGATTGTCACCATTTTGCTTTTGTTTGCTTAACAAATTGCATCAGAGAGAATCGAACTTGGAATCTAAAGTGTATGACTAAATACAGTTAACATTAAAAGACCCAAATCAAAATTGACATTCAAAAGAGACAGTAGTAGTACTTTTTAATTGAAAAGTGAATTCTAATTGGCGCGAATTGTGAATGGTCCTAGCTAGGGTATCTTTGTCTAGTTCTTCCATCAGATAGATATTTTGTGTGTCTGTCTCTGTATTTTTCTGGATAGATAGAGTATGTATCACTATATATATTTCATGGTTCATATGCTTATCTAACTAACATTTTTCCAAAAACTGAAGAAGTTGCTTTGAAGAAAAGCCACAACGCAGAGGATAAAGGAGCAGAAAGTTTTAGAACAAGGAGCCGTATATACCTTGATAATTGTTGGGTGATTATTACGTTCTACATTTGAAAAAACTGCAAAGTCTTGGCTAACATCGAATGGAATAGATTGTCCCACCGCATCCTCAATTTTGCGGCTAAGCTGCTCGTATTCATCCTTGAGAACATGAATACAAACAAGTTGATTTTGTCATCATCGAGTATATATACATACAATAGACAAAATAACAAAAATAATGTTCTTTTGCCAAACAATCGAAAGTATAAAATGTTGCTATATCTTGTGAATATAAACCACTAATCAAGTTAATTATTCTTTTCGTAAATATGTGGTTTAGATTCACACAGTCGCAACATATATAAGTATTTTTCTGGTAATATAAATCAAAATTGAAATTATTGGTCACCTTCAATAATGTCCATTCTTGCTTGAATTCACTCGAGTCATTACTGGAAAATGTTGTATTATTATTTGAGAAGTATCTAAAAGGAGCTCTAACTTGAACATTGTATTTCTTGCAAAATGGAACCCAAAGCTTGGCAAACTTTGATGCTTCCGAAAGCGAGTAGAAGGTGAGAGGAGAACAGCCATCATCAGATACATAGCAAGCTAGCTTGTTTGTTGGGTAGTCCACAGCCAACAGAGACAAAACAGTGTTTATGGTAATAATAGGTGGTTCCAACTCCGAGTTTGCAGTTGTCACAAACATGTCCACCGGAGGGAGTTCATGCTTAGAAACCCTAATTATCAACAAAACTACATTATCATCAAAAAGTTCCATATATAATTAAGCAATACATAAAATGAGATGATGTGAATAGATACCGTTGTAAGAGGCGGTCAGGGTAGGTTTTATATTCGACAATGTTCCATTTGTTGCTTATGGTGATGACCCAATTTAAGGTGAACGAGAGCTCACACAGGAAAGCAATGAGCCAAGTGAAACCATGGTCGTTGAAAGAGAGAAGACGATGAACGAGGAGTGAAAGGAGGAGGAAGAGGATTATGAACTCAATGACTTTATGCAGAGTGTATCTAAGCTCTATTCTTTCGTGTAGAGGGAGTGAGTTTTGGTTAGCCATTGGAAAAATGTGTAGAGGGAGTGAGTTTTAGTTATTCAAATTAAAACATGTGAACAGTAACACCACCGGACTCTCAAAAACTGCTCGCAGATTGTGTGGCCATGGTTATAAAATTTGTTATAAGGCAGCCATATTCTTTCCAGAGAGTTCTTATGGGAGTCCAAGTTTTTAGGATAATTTCAAATACTTGATTTTTGTACGTCCTTGGTCTCCATTTCTTCATCTCTACCTTATTACTTTATTTCTGAACCAGATGACTTCTTATCTGATTCATTCTTTGAAGAGCTCAATTCAAATATAGCCTTTCATTTCATTATAATTTTATTCAACATATATATGTATATATTATTACCTTCAAACTTTTGGGCACTGGAGAACATGACGTAAGGACTGATATCTTTTTTGGGTCGAAAACGTAAGGACTGATGTCTAACTCTTCCAATAGGAACACATCAAAACCTTTAAAGTGCACGTCTTTTTTTATTTGTATAGTGTGGATGGAATCAAAATAATTCATTTAGAAAAAAACTTCTGATAGCTTCAGAAGTGCATCACCATTAATTTTTGATAATGAAAGTGTGACTCACAGTTCATCAACTGCTCACTGTCGCTCACTCAAAGCTAAAAAAGTTTACGTCTCAAACACTGCGCCGACTTAGATAATAATATTCTTTCTTAGAAAGTGGGGACTCCCCAGCTAGGACTAACAAAGGACGTCTCTCCCTATCAAGTGACAGATTGAGATTCTGTTCCATATGACGCCAAGGGGATGGAGAATGCAAGTCATTTCTTCTGGAGTCGTTCAAGGGGATAAGTTATGATAGTGGTTCATTTCGTGCCAATTGTTCTCAAGCAAGCAGGACCAACCATATATTTTGTTGCTGAAACCATATTGGAATCGCAAGGTAAAATTGTAAATTACGAAATTCCAATTTTTCTACACAACTTTAAATGGCTAAGACACAAATATTTAGATAATTAGAAATTCAAGAAATTATCAGTTTCCCTAATTCTAGTTTACATCAATCATACTGTAGGCCGGAATTTTCCGAATTCCAGCTACCACCATTGTTTTCCTCACAGCTGCAGCAAGATCCCATCTCTCCTTCCCAGCATTAATGTTTGACAAAACTACGTACCGTCCACAGTGTTGTGGCTGCAACTCGAGAAGTTTCTCACCAACTTCATTTCCCAGCTCAACAGTCCCATGAATCTTACAAGAACCTAAAAGAGCCCCCAATACAGAGGCATCAGGCTCGAAAGGCATGCCCTTAATAACTTCAGTTGCCTCCCAAAACAGCCCTGCTCTGCCCAAGAGGTCAACCACACACCCGTAGTGTTCCATTATCGGCTCAACCCCGAAATCATTTGTCATCGATCTAAACAATTCCAAACTAAACTTCACCAGTTTTCCACGAGCACATGCTGTAAGAACTGCGACAAATGTAACCTCATTAGGCTGCAACCTCTCCATCTTCATTTTTTCAAACAAGTCCAAAGCCTCCTTCTCTTTACCATTCAAAGAAAGTGCAGAAATCATCGCATTCCAAGTACAAACTTCTTTAACTACCACTTGCTGGAACATGTATTCAGCGCTGTTCAAACAACCAGTCTTCCCGTAAAGATCCACCAATGCAGTCCCCAAAAACGCAGTCAATTCAATCCCACTTCTAATAACATGCCCATGTATTTGCTTCCCCCAATAAATAGATCCCCACCCACCCAAATTAGCACAGAAAGAAAGCACACTAACATAAGTAGCTTCATTTGGCTTCACAAAACAACCCATCACATTCTCATGATTCATCATCATCCGAAAAAACCGAATTCCGTCGCTAAGACACCCATTTCTCCCAAACCCGTTTATAACGCTTGTCCATGAAACCACGTCCCTTTCCGGCATGCTTTCAAATAGCAAAACAGCAGAACCCATATCCCCATTCTTCCCAAACCCATCAATCATCGCATTGCACGCAACCACACATGGTTCAGACATTTCCTCAAACACCTTACGCGCATCGCACAATTTACCAAGCTCAGCATAAAAGCTCACAAACGAGGTCTGTATAAAAGGGTCGCGCAAAACGCCGCGTTTTACGACTTGGGTATGAAGCGGGGAGCCCAGACGGGGCGATGAGGTGGAGGAAGAGGAGGCGGCGGCGGCTTTGATAAGAGGAGGGAAGGTGTGGCTGTTGGGAGGGGCTTGGTGGGCAAGCATGTGGATGAAGAGGAGGAGGGTCTTGCGGGGTTGGCCGAAACCGAGATGGGCTCTGATCAAAGTGTTGTAGAGGAGGGTTGGCATCCATTTGGAAGCGGAGGGTTTAGGGTTTTGGTTGTGGAGGAGATGACCGTTGGTGATTAGGCGGGAGTGGATCTGTTTGATTTGGTTAGGGTGCTTGAGGAAGCATTGGAGGAGTTGAAGTAGAGACTCGGGTGATGACTCTGGCATAACACCAATTCATGTGTATCAAAAATTGTGCTTGCTATTTTATCATATTTGTTTAAAACTAATTATAAAACTGGGTGAGAGGAAGAAGGGAAGGGTGAGAGAGAAACGCTCAGACCTATGAGAATTGTGTCCTCACACTTTAATTTTATATCTTTATTTATACGAATCATGATGAGTTTTTTTACCTAAGAAATAGTACAAAGTGCATGAATAATGATCACATTCCTAATTATTAATTCAATTCATAACAATATTTTTTTACCTTAGAAATAGTACAAGGTGCATGTTAAGTTAACCTATTGTTTAATCAAAATAGGTGGGTGTTGCTGGATTTTGCATGGGTGGTGCTCTCTCAATTGCAAGTTCTGTTTTGCTCCCTGACGTTGATGCTGTCGTTGCGTTTTATGGAGTGCCGCCATCAGAGCTTGCAGACCCTGCTAAAGCTAAGGCTCCTGTTCAAGCTCATTTTGGAGAGCTTGATAGTTTCGTTGGCTTTTCAGATGTGACGGTACTGAAATTTTCTTTTGCATCTTTCAGTCGTAATTATTTTAGTTACCTCCTAAAGCTTTTTTGAAGTTGTTTTTTCTGGGCTGAGTTGTTGACGCCTAATGGTTGTGAATTTGGGGCACGTGAGCTTAGCATTGTATAGTTGAGACCGCAATAATCTTGGCCATACATGTGCAAGCAGGCCTTGTACTTCATTAGTTATCAAATTCCACGTACTGAAATTGTATCGTGACATAGTTGAATGGCCTTAGTTTCGAAATGCTGAAGGTGATTTTTTTTCCTCTTTAGGTACCTCCCCGTGAAATTATTGTCAAGGTTCATCACTTCATGACTTCAAATCCTTGTAGTATCACCTGTTTAGTCCTTTAGAAAGGGAAGAACTTCTCAGAAGTTGAATATTGGTAATATATCGAGAAGTGCTGCTATACTCAAAGCAATATGTGCATAGGACTATGCATAACATGAACCGTTTGAATCACTTTTACAATTGTATATGCCGTTGGCAATGCAAAGGCGTGTGAGCTCTTTATGCGCATAAGATGATTGTGCACCTGATTTTAGTTCTACGATGATTAAATTTCTGAATTACTTTGAGAAATATATCCTCAAACATACTAATGCAGAATTACTTATGTCGACATTTGGATCTTGATTTTCAGGCTGCCAAGTCTTTGGAGGAGAAGCTGAAAGCATCAGGAATCCCTTACGAGGTGCACATTTATCCCGGCAATGCCCATGCATTCATGAATAGGTCTCAAGAAGGTGTGAAGAGGAGGAAGGACATGGGATTGACTGATGAGGATGAGGCATCATGTCAGCTGGCTTGGTCTGGCTTCCAGTCATGGATGTCTCGCTATTTGTCCGCTTAAGTTTTTGTTCGTGTAGTTTTATATATCTGACACTCCGACGTATGATGGTACTTTCCCGTTCCTACTAGTACCATACGCAGCAGGGTGTCCTATGCAGACTTATGGACTATAGATAAGGTACCGTACTGGTACACTTGTAAGGTGTAACTACCTAACTTAATGGTTTGGCTAGCAATAATATTTCATCTTAGTGAGTTCTGGTGTCCTTAATGGGTTGGCTATACTTATGGCCTTCACCATCACAACTACCACCATCCAACCGCAGTCACCCATCACCATCTTCACTGCTACCTTCCCATGGCCATATCATCATCACCACCACCACGTTCTTATTGCATAACCGCTGACACCAACACATCACCACCTCTGCTATAGCCACATTGTCATGACCATTACACACATGGCCGCCGCCACCTCTCCAACACCATCGATGCCGCCACCACCACTTCGACCCCATCGATGCCACCACTATCCCTCCACCTTCACCACCGTTCCGATCCCACCATCAGCAGTGCACCGACACCAGCCACCATCACTAGCACGTGTCAACAACTCGTGTAGATCGATGACTATATATGTCCACATTAAACACGGTACAAAATATCTATACACTTTTAGGACTATCTAAACAAGAAAGTATACAAATTTTAGAAAATCGAATTTCGTGATTTTAATTTCCATAATTTTGATGCTCTTAAAATTTCTCATATCCAACCGAAGGTAAATTATGAATTATTTGTGTTGTGTGGCACAACATGTATGTGACGGGGTAATGCGTGAGAAGTTGCAAAAATTAAACGAAAAGTAGGGCAAAGGTTAGAAAAAAGCATGAGTGAGGTTTGAGCAAGTTGAGCAAAATGTTGAATGTTCGAATTATAGGAGAAGCAGACCCTTTAACTAATGCCTTGGACCCACTGCATACCAACAATCATTTCTTAAACAAATGGAATGGAATGGACCACATCATCCATCCTTTTGTCACGAATGGATTTAACATGACTAATTGCAAAGGAAGTGATTTTCACACTTCATTTTTAATTTTTACACATTATTTAATTTTTGTCGTTAATTTCGTTTGATATATTCAATCTAATAATTAAAATTAAATATAAATGTGTGAGAAGCTAAAAAATGTGTGAAATTATTCCCGTTATAATCATTTGAAGAGAATGAGAGATGGTGATGCTTTTCACATGTTTCACGTGTCACCACTTGCATATGAATGTATTCACAAATACTTTCCTATGTCCGATAAGCACCATATAATACTGAGAAAAAAAAAAAAGGAACCTTTTTAATGTTTGGATCTGGATAAAAAAAAGCTACTTGAACCAACTTCATTCCTAGACCTACTTTAGGTCTTATCTGTTTTTTTTTTTTTTTAGATAACCGTTTTGGCATTGCTAAACCCTAAACCCTGATTTAGGCATTCCAAGTTCCAACCCTAGCTTTTGGCACTTTTAACCTACTATGAAATACTTACTTCAATTAGTTTTCAGGTGTTTAATGTCAAGCATACTTGGACATTTGTTTCGTGTAGAAAAGTGACTAACTGAAAATTCAATCTTCAAATTATAATTCGACACATGAAAAAGTGACCAACTAAAAAATCACAAATAGATAAGTTGTATTCTACACACTTGTTAAATTATAATTTATATGTAAAGAGTAATGACTGGTGACATATAAGTTGAGTATTTTCCTTCGTGGATCTAGCGTGTTAATGTGAACTTGTGATGATGACCATCCGGTCAGTTGTCTAGGCCGGGAAATTATTGAGAAAATTAACACTTTTTTAGGCTGTGTCAAGAGCATTTATTTAATTTTATTTTACTAGGTAAGAATCGTGTGTTCTGGTTTTCGCAAAATTATTAACAAAATTAGTTGGATTTATGCCTAGCTAGTCATATATATAACCACAATTTCTTCGCCTTTCAACATCAAAATTAAACCTAAAAATATAATTTTTGTGTAAACATGCTTTGTCAACGACGGATCAAAATTTAACACCTTAATCAAATCTAAAACTTGTGAAATTTCTCATTGCGTGATGAGATGCAAATACAAGAGACTGTATCGCTTCTTAAACCCCAAAGGATTTCTTCCAAAACCAGGTCATTCATAATAGGGTTGGTTACTTGTCTGTTCAGTTCTAATCAATTTAAAGGGCAAGATTGATGAAAAAAATGGTTGGGGGGGGGACAAGTTTGCTGTTAGGTTGACACTAAATGATGGGCTACATATAAAACTATTGACGATCTTATACTAATAAGAAAGAAATGCACTCTCAGAGACTCAGAGATCAGCGGAGATCCATACGTGATACATTAATACTTACAAAGAAAAGTATTGCGAACTGACTTTCTGTTCATATATATATATATATATATATTAATTAATTAAATAAAAAATTAGTATCTGGTAATGTTCATTGACTGAGACCTTATTAGTTTTCAAATTTTGATTGAAGTCCCTATCATTAATGTGATAATGAATTTACATGTTTATTACACATTTTTTAAAATAAAAATTAGTAATGGATTTAAGATTTTAATAATCACACCTCTATTATACTCCTACTTAATTTTCAATTCAAACATTTCCAAAATAAAATAAAATAAATTAGAATAAGTTTGTACCCATTAGTTTTTCATAAAAAGATTCTCAATTTTTTAATCTTAAATGTACTTAATCTTCAATATACGAATTTTTTTTATGTAAAATGTACCATTTTTTTCAATATAAAATTTACAAATTTTTCATATAAAATGTACCCAAATTTTTAATATAAAATCCATTCAATTTTTAAATCCATTTTTAAACTTATATGGGTACATTTTTTTTTCGTTGATTTGAGAATGTATCTATATCAAGTTAAATATACTAATGTTATTAAGCCTAATAATCTCTTTTTTTTTTTTTTTTTTTTTTTTGTGTTATGAAGAATGTACCCATATTTTGGTACAATAATTGTTTTTTGTTAATTTTGATGAACGTACCCATATTTACACACACACACACACAAAATATAATAGAGGTATAATTTATATTTTATTATTTTTAATCCCACAAATTATGGGTTATATTTAAAATCTCATTAATATAAACAAATACAACTTTCAAACTTTAATTTTTAATTTAAAAAATATAGTAACTTACACTATTACATTAATGTCAGGGACTTTCGATCAAAAACTAAAAATAGATAAGGTTTCAATCAAAGAATATTAATAGATAGGAGCCGCATCCAAAGTGTCCCTTAATTAAATTATAAGAAAGAAATTAAAGGAAGAATAAGTAGTGTGTCAATTTAAGGCATTGTGCAGATAATTTAATTAACTTTCGAAGTTTTGGAAAATGAAAGCGATTGATGCTTAATAACTTGGCGGGCATAAAAGCATACACGTTGGTACCTCTTTTACAATATCAAATTAAATATATTCTCTAAGAAAATGAAATAATTTTATATTGTTTAATTTATTTAATATATTCAATATATATGATATTTGATTTTGGCATATCCCACGCTGCAATTTTATAAGGGTTGTTTAATCTTTGTAAAGGTGGTAGTTGCAGGCATAACTCATTATCAGTCTAAGTCTTCTCTCCAGCAGCCCAGCTAACCCAATAGTTTATGACCTAATTTGTAATATAATGTTGCTAAATTTTTTTTATGTTTTATTTTCTGCGTGGTATATATGGTCTGCTAATGTTGAACAAATCCTCTGTCGGTAGTCAAATATGAAGATATCATAGAAGGAACGTTCATCAAATTATTGTTTATTGCAGTTTTTGTTTCCTCACCATAATCTGTTTCTGCTTTGATTGTTTCTTAAACTCAAGTAGAAATGCACCGCACAACGGTGGATCCAAACCTAGCATTAAGAAAGAACTTAGTAATTGAAGACCTAACCCCAGGATCTTGAGTCGTTCTTTCCGCTTCACATGGGAAGAGGATAAGACTAGAATAGTAGTTCGACGATCAAATCCTTTATCTGTAGTTAATTTGTTTCACCTAATTCTTTCATTCATGTTGTTTTCTTTTATTGTACAATTGATTTGATTATTCATCAAATAATATAATACTGATCCTCGTAATATAAAAAATAAAAGAAATTACAGTCATACGATATTTCATCAGCATGCAGCTTTTATTTCATTGGTAGACATGGTTAATTATGTAGTTGGGATTTAAACTACCGAGAATTTTAACTAATCCAATCTCTTCCTAAATCCTACGAGCCGCTGTCGCTGAATTAAGGCCTCTCTCATATGTCATTACTTCAATTATATTCAGATGAAGTAGGTTTGGTTTATGCGATTCGATCGTCACTTCTTAATTTAATAGTACTTTGCCTTACCTTATTAACTCGACCTGTTAATTAATCCAGACGGATCAGTTGCTTGTTAATGGAGTATAAAGTTTAAAGTTGAAGTAATCAAATTATGTTAAGGGTTTGTCCTGTTTAATTTAAATGGTATTGTGGAGTAGTGGTTGTAGGAGATATGCTATGACATCAGCAATAGTTGAAACAGTTTAGAAAGACTGACTGTAAGAATACACATACATACATATTATATATATAATCCAGCACTAAATATGCATACATGGGATTTCAAATTATGTCCTATAGCAACCGACCATATGAAACAGAAAAAGTAGCCTTAAACAGAAGGTGACCAACAGGAGGCAACAAACCAAGTAATTAAAAGCGCTTCTGATTGGCTTTTGGATTTTGAACACAGAAAGAAAAATGCACACAGAACATTAAAAAAGCAGTTGCATGAAGTACTTTTGAGAATCGCAGCAGCCTATAGTAGGGCAACGTTGCAATCCACAGTCCACACTTCGGCTTTGTTTTTCAATTCCATAGTTACAATTTTATGTATGTCTCCACGCATTGGCATGCACGTTTTCTTCTATTGCCAGCTAGAATTGTAGCAGTAGTCAACATATATTGAATACACAAGAAAAGAAAAGAAAACGAATGAGCTCAACTCTTTTCATACTTGCCATTATAGAATTTCTAAAGGATGGTGCTATTCACACATCCACTTTTACTTTCCACACACTTTTTCTAATTTTTTTATCATTGATCTTCTTCAGTTCATTCGATTTGACGGCTAAGTGAGTAGCATTACCCTTTCAAAAAAGATTGGAATGCTTATGAGAAAAAGCTCATTTGTTTATAAGCAATGCAGTTTTGTAATTAGAAGAAAAATTAAACAAAAAATAAACCAAAAATTAGAAGTGCATTCTAGAATAGAAGTGACTTTCTAGAGAAGCACATGTATAATGCACTTATACAATCCAGACGCACTTCTAAATGTTTTGGTCTAATGTTGCTACAAACACTTTTGGTTCTCTAAAAGCTTCATAACGGCCATTCTTAAAGCAATAAAAAAACGAATCCTAATTAAGCTCATTTGGAAACAACATTCAGTAGCGTGACTGATCGTGAGCTGCTTCTCTGCTGACTTTGCAAATACTAAAACATAACACAAGCAGGGAAAACATTGTACTACTTCTACTTTAGAGTGACTAGAAAGAACTCGATCAATTGAATCACGTTTTAGTCCTGTAATATTTGCACAAAATACAACTTTTTATCATACTTTTTGAACCAGATCTATGATCTACAAAATCTTCATTAGTTCTCTTCGGACAGCTGCCGCTAACTTTTTTCATTGGACCCTGTTTTCAAACTAAATATAAATTCACATGTAAATTGCTAAAGTGGAACTTCAATTTCAAAGAAGAGCATGGTTCTTCTAATTTGGTCTTGTACGGGAGAAATTCTCTTATGTAGCCGGTAACACCGCATGTTAATTTCTATCTAACGAAAGGATAGTGTGGATTATTTGAATACATTATAACTGTCTATATATATTATCGATGCCACTGTGACAATATATTAGTTTCAAGAGAGTCTCTCTCAAGACTATATATATAAACATTTAGTTAGAGGGAAATTATTACAAAGTCACATGAGTCACGTCCAACTAGTAACAAGTAGTGATAACTTGGAGTTGAATTAATGAAGAGTGTACATATAGGATGGGACATGCAAATTGCAGCTGGTAGAGGAAAAGATGGAAGACCCATTTTGCTCTTTTTTGACGACTTCACATGCCCTTTCAAATAATGCGGCCCCTTCCATTGACTAGAACTGGAAATTTGGAAAGGCAATTGTAACATGCATCATGCAGGAGAGTGGAGAGACGTAGGCGGACATTATCAATTTGATTTAGTAATTAAACATGTATGATGTTACCTTTTTAAGTTCATTGAAACCCATAATAGAACGTTGTTGCACCACGTTTAATGTGTTGTATGGTAAAATATAAGAAAGAATTAATCATGCATTAGTGTTAATTACCTCTAATCATGAAAATATCAAAAGATGTCAAACTAGATTTTGTTTGTTCAAATGGGGTAATTTGAAATTCTTGGAAAATGGTATTGTGGTAATATATCAACAAACTAAAGAAAATACCTCTTAATCATGAAAATTTCAAAAATGGTAAACTAGATTTTGTTTGTTCAAATGGGGTAATTTGAAATGCACGGAAAATGATATCGTGGTAGTGCATCAACAAACCAGCTAGAGAAAATAATGACTAGTTGGCTAAATAGTAATGTCACACTTTTTTTCTAATTATTATAATCAATGAAAATAAAAATAAAAAAATTTCTACCTACTAACATATCTTTAACCATGGGCAGTGCCACTTAAGAATCATGATGATCTCAAACCCCTTCTACGGTCTACCCTCCAAGACACACACACACACACGTACATATAAGCAATATTACAAGAAGAAAGATTCGAATTTAAAATTTTGAATGCAAGAAATAATACTCTTTAAGCTCTTACCTAACTGAGCTACGAGCTGCATTTACCCTCCCTAATTCTCTCCCTTTTCTCATGAGATCTACCTCTTCTTCCAAATGCAAGGCCATTGTCTTTAACTTGGTTTCCAATGGTTCTTTAGCTCTTATCCCAAAGTTTGGACTTCCCTTTCTTGTAATTATCGTCCCTAATTTTTTTTTTTTTTTTTTATCAATTGCATTTAAATCCTTTAGATTTAGAGTGATTTTGAAAACGGGTTAGATATTTTAATTGTCACATATTGCATCATTCTTAGTTGATTGTTTGGTCCCTCGTTAATCTAATGACTTGAAAGGCTAAAAACTCATTCTTACTTGATGTGGAACCATACTTGAACCATGCATCTTTATGAATCAAAACCGGTCATCATGGAATTACGGTTTCTCCCAAATCAATATATGCTTTGTATTCCAAACAACAACCAATCACGCAATTTGATTTTAATGGTGTAAGTTGATTTCAATGGTGGAAGTGTATCTTCTACATGTACAACCTAGTAACGAGTATCCCATATGCCTCATCAATTTACAAAGAAAACTAGAATCATATAGATGAAAAATTATACATTGATACGATTTAAAAAACGTAATGTAAAAAAATTGAAACCTCTGATAATTAGTTTTCTTTTTCCTTTTAATTTTTCTTTGTTAGAAAGCCTTCTTTTCTAGTCTTATTTTCTAGAATTTAGTTCTTTATCACACATATATACAAGTCAAATACACACTTGCGTATTCGACATGCAAAAGATCTTATGCAATAATCTTCACTCATTTGATTTTCTAAAACCATGTCCTTGATTTTTACCACTTAAAACCATTATCACATTGTCTTTTTCAATAACCAAAAACAATCAAAGAACAAAACAAAGCCGAGGACTCAAGAGCCCTGGACCATTATTTCCAATTTTTCAATTATTACTCCTCTTTTCATTTTTAACATTTTATTCTTGGATCAAGTATCTACAAAATAAAACCAAAGGATTAGGTCCATTTGAGCGGACGGAGTCAACCCGTCAACTTCGCCCCTGAATGAAGCTATGGTTCGATGTCAAAACTCTGTTGGTCCAGCAACGAGTCTATAGTGCAACTTATATAAAACGAATTCTAGATTGTATGATTTTCGGTCAATTACCGTAATGTATTATCTTTTATATTATATTATTAAGCAGAAACGCTGTGAGAATAATGAATCCGTTCTATTGAATTCGATATCCCACACTTGGTTCCGGACCAATCTCATGTCAGAAGCGTTGACTCAGACTACGCTTTCCACGAGCGAGAGACGCCGGGCCAGTCGGGAGCCTGTGGAGTTTTGGAACGCGTCAATCTCTCTCCTCCATTTTTTGACTTCAGAGCCAAATCGGACGGCTGTCCCAGCGCAGGACCGTCACGCATGTGGGGTCCAACTGCCTCCCTCCCCACACCGTCAGTCTGTGAATAGCTACCGGGACTACTAGGCTATGACGTGAATAGGTAATATTATCATCGAGATTAAGAAAAGCTTTAGGTAAGACGACGATTGGCACATCTTAATCATTTTTATTTTACAGCCGACATTTTTCCATTCCTGAATATATGTACTCCATTGAAGACAAAGGGTTCAGGTGGACATGATTTCTCTTTGAGTAAGCTAGGGTGATCAACTATTAGATTAAATTTTGTAAATCATATAACGTGGTTGTTGATAATCAAATTATTACTTAAGTGTTGATTAACATGTTTATTTCTTATTAGTGACACATCACATGATTTGCAAATTTGTTTTAAAAAATTGTTCTACCTAAAGCATAACGTTTCACGAAAGTTTGAAATCAAAACTTTCCAATCAACTATAGTCTTTGGTATGGTGGTACTTATCTTCAATCAGTTGCAGAAAGTCTTCGTCGCATGGACATAAGAGTGATATATGATTTATGACCGAAAATGTGATTTCAACTATTATATAACTATAGCATGGATAACCTCAAAAATAAAATAAAATAAAATAAAATAAAAACCCTAAAGCATGTACACTTTTGTTATTACTAATAATGACTTCATTTTCCATAATCAATCAAAACTTTCTAACCAACTAGTGTTTGGTATGGTGGTAATTTTGTCTTCAATCAGTTGTAGATAGTCTTCGTCATATGGACATAAGAACGATATATATTTGTCCTGAGTAAGATACTTAGTTGTGACTAACTCATTTTAATGGCATAGTTTTATTTTTTTTTTAATGTGCTAGATAAGTGTAAGAAGTATCGGCATAAACATTGTTTTTTTTAAATAAAAACTTTCCATATCTCTTTGTTTTTTTTTTCTTTTTTCTTTTTTTTTTTTTTTGTATGATGATTAATCCCAAAAGTCAGATATTGATAATAATGAACAAGCCTTTACTCATGTGACCATATATAAAGTGTATTTAGTCATCACTCATGTGATATTTAAAGCGATAACCAAGTAGCTAGTAAATGCCTTAAATTTGAATCCCTTTTTTTCTCTTCTTAAAACCTTCCAATTGTAGCATCCCTATCCTATTACTTTCCCCAAACACAACTAAATTAAATTAAAATTAAGAGAAATGCTAAGGAGACTTGCTCAAAGTGAGCTCTTCATAAACTCTTTGTCATAGTTTAATGTTAATTTTAGTCTCAACATTTTAAAACATTGTACCAAAAACATGAAGTGACGAAGAATTTATGAAGAGTCTCACTCTTGAGAATCTCCTTAGCATTTCTCTAAAATTAAAACCCTTCCTTTCCCTTCTCTTCCCTTCTCTTCCCTTCTCCTCCTCCTCATTTCTCTCCAAGTCCAAATCCAAAGTGCAACACAAAAAATATTAGGACTCACAAAAAACACACCTCACCCCATCACACCGCACATTCACTTCTAGTACTGCTATAGTCTCTCTCTCTCTCTCTCTCTCTCTCTCTCTCTCTCTCTCCATTGGGGAGGTCTTCTTCTAAAGTCCAACCCCCCTTTTATTGCCGAGTCCATTGCACTCTCTCCCCCTTCACTCACACATTCACTTCCACCTACACACAAACTCTCTCTCTCCACAATTTTTCTTAGGATTTATGGCCAAAGGAAGTGGACTCTCCATTGATTCAGATCCATTTTCCTTCTCTCTCCACAACCCTATAGTCCTCAACTCCTTCCAGGAAGACCAATATAACCACCACCTCCCACCACTCTCCACCACCAAAAAACAACTTCACCACCACCACTCATCACTCATGCTCATGGACAACTCGACCGCTATTCGCCGCCGATCTCCTACGCCCCCTCCTCCCACGACTATCCAGTTCGCAGTCAACCTCAACCGCTCCAACGACGACGATGTTCAGCACTCTCCTGACTCACCACCACCCTCCAACGAGCAACGCAAAGTCATCGACGAGCGGGACTTCTTCGCCGATAGCAAGAACCACCTCGAAAAGTCCGTCGGCTCCGACTACCCTGCCGATAAAATGGACTTACATGGCCCCACAGACATGGAATTCAACGTAAATGTAAGCGACCCTTTTCGCCATTTTGTTCTTGAGGCACGGATCCAGCCTACCCTAGGTATAGTGTTCTTCTTCCTCCTTCACACAGCCTCCATCTGCCCTTTATCCTCCCTCAGCGCCTAATAACCTCAAAATGTTTCTCCTTGCTTTTTTCTTAGTCCAAAATATCCGATTAAACCTTAAAGTTTGACCTCTCGAAAGCTTGGTTGTCATAAGAATCGCCTCAGTCGTGAAGCATGAAGAGCTGGGCTACGGAAGAGTGCATCGCACAGCGCATCTGCGTTTCTTGGCCACCGCAGTTTTGGTCCATGCCAATTACAAAAAATAAATAAATATATATTCGTAATATATAAAACTTGTATCATAGAACGAAGAGTACAACTGCCCCCAATATCTTCCCTTAGCTCAACCCATTTTAAAATTCTAGGTCCGTGCATGCGAGTTTTTGTTCATTGTGTTATTCATTTATAGTTATAGATTTTTTTTTTTCATTCAACTCCTGGTCATTTATAAAATTTGAACTCATAATCTCTTTCATGAGACGGATTTTTGCTGGTTGTAATTTTTGTCTTTGTGTTTTTGTAACTTTGTAGACTGGATTGAATCTTCTGCTTACAAACACTAGTTCTGACCATTCAGTGGCGGAAGATGGTATTCCATCAAACATAGAGGATAAAAGAGCTAAAAGTGAGGTAAAAATGAAAATCTAACTGTTATTTTTTTCCTTCTAATGAAACTTCGACGGTACTAGAGATATTTTATTGAATTGTAAAAAAAACTTACACCTTGATCAATTTAGCTTTACTTTTTTTGACCTGTGATTGAATTTTGGTTCTTCTGTTTTTCTCAGCTCGCTGTTCTTCAAGCTGAGCTCCAGCGGATAAACGTGGAGAATCAACGGTTGAGGGGGATGCTTAATCAGGTGACCACCAATTACAATGCTCTTCAGGTGCAGTTGCTGAATTTGATGCAAAGCCAGAAGGCTGATCAGAACAGTAGTGGTGCCGAAGGCCATCGAGTGGCGTTGGAAGAAAAGAAGCTTATGAATGGAAATGGATCATCACTAGTGGTGCCGAGGCAGTTCATGGATCTTGGGTTGGCTGCTAAAAATGGTGATGCTGATGAGCATTCACAGTCTTCGTCTGATGAACGAAGTCGTGGCGAACGGTCTGGCTCGCTTGGAGATAATGTGAAGGCTGCAGGGCACAGTGATGACCAAGGGATCGGTTTTGATCACGAAAAGAAGGATTTCGGGAAACGAATTGGGAGAGAAGAGAGCCCAGATCAGCCGTCACAGAGTTGGGGGCCTAACAAAGTTCCGAGGCTCAGTTCTCCGAAAGAGGTTGATCAAACTGAGGCTACAATGAGGAAGGCTCGGGTCTCGGTTAGAGCTCGATCCGAGGCGCCTATGGTATGTGCTTTTGTACTGAATTGGAATAGTGTTATGAGTGACATTGAATTTCTGTTCCAACATGCTTGTTGATTTGCTAAATTTGTTGGGTTTTGATATAGATCACTGATGGATGTCAATGGCGAAAGTATGGGCAAAAGATGGCAAAAGGAAACCCTTGTCCTCGTGCTTATTATCGATGCACCATGGCTGCTGGTTGCCCCGTTCGAAAACAAGTAAGCTAAGCTCACTTAGGGTAACTTTCTCTTATTAGATACAGGAAATTTTAACTTGTCAAACTGTGAATTAATTAGGAACATACAATTTTAGTCGTTGTAGTAATTTGAGTTACTATTATGATCAAACAGGTACAAAGATGTGCAGAAGATAGGACAATCCTAATCACTACATATGAAGGCAATCACAACCACCCATTGCCTCCGGCAGCAATGGCAATGGCATCGACTACATCATCCGCGGCGCGGATGTTGCTCTCAGGGGCTATGCCGAGTGCCGACAGCCTAATGGACTCAAACTTCCTCAGCAGGACAATCCTCCCATACTCCACTAGCATGGCCACCATCTCCGCCTCAGCGCCATTCCCTACTGTTACATTGGACTTAACACAGTCACCGAACCCTTTACAACAATTCCAAAGGCCACCAGGCCAATTCAACATTCCATTCCCAAACCCTAATCAGAATTTCACCAGTGGCCCTTCCTCATTGCTGCCTCAAATTTTTAGTCAGGCGCTATACAACCAGTCCAAATTCTCTGGCCTCCAAATGTCACAGGATACAGACCGTGCGGCCGTCCAATTAGGTCACCAGTCGCAACCCGGACAGCAGCAGGGCTCACTGGCCGATCTTACTGCCGTCACCGCTGCCATTGCAGCTGATCCAAACTTCACTGCAGCCCTAGCAGCTGCCATTACCTCTATCATTGGCAATGCTCATCCAAACAACAATGTTGCCAACCCAGCAACCAACTCAAACAACAACAATGTCAATGCCACCAAGCAACAGCAGTAGCGATTGCAAAAATAATCTTAGCAGTTCTAGTTTTTCAGGGAATTAAAGCATGCTTTATTATTATTAGTTTTCGATTAGGATTAATTACTTTTGTTTTGGGATGGGAGAAAAAGAAAGTGAAAATATACATGCTTTTCTTTTTTCTTGTATTTTTTTTCTTTTTTTTGGGTGGAGGGGATAAATTGATGATAGATATTATTTTCTTTGTCATTTGGAATAATATGTTCACATTGTATGTCAGTACAAAGTAACATAAAAACGAAGAAAAAAACAAAGAAAGAGGAAAGAATGCAAATTGGTTCTTCCATGTTTGTATGCATACGGAAATGGAGAGATTGATGTTTTGGCACTCTCTCGTCTTATAATTATTTATGCCAATGTTCTATGTTTTCCGATTGACCAATCAAAACCTAGAAAGAATCACAATTAGTCTCGGTACGATGTGAGCTGTCAGAAGACTTTAGATTCAATTTACATTTAAATAGAGACATAAATTATATTTTAAAAAAGTTTAATATCTAGTTGTGTTTGAGTTCATTGTAGCGGCCCAACTTTATAATAAAATTTGTAAATCGGTGCATAAAATGTTCGTATAAATATCTTATCGTTTGTAAAAGAGACAAAAAAAGGTTGGAAGGAGAAGAACAAAGTGAAAGGATAAAGGAAAATGAGTATGGAAGGAAGAATAAGAGGGGATTTTATTCTTTTTTTGTTGTTGGAGTTATGTGTATTAAAAGGGGAAGTCAAGGGAAGGAGTCAACAAAACCGTCTCGGAGTTATGGGCTTAGTTTGACACGCAAGGAAAGTGAGGAAAGGGGAAGAGAGAGAGACTTTTTTGGTTTTTGTTTGTCACGTTTGGTGCTACCAACTCTTGCCATTTACCTATTTGGCAAAGCTTGTTCTTAAGCTTCACCCAATTGATGACAGGGAAAATATACTGCAAATCATGGAAGCAAAAATGGATTATTAGTTATACCATCTCACAGTGTATATAAGGTTATCTCAAACCAAAGAACTAAACATAGTCCCGTCTAGAATTATAGCCCTGCAAGAAATTATTATTAAATAAATAGTGTTAGGCCATACTTATATATCATCTCTAACCAAAGAGGCTAAACATAGCTCTCTCAATAATTTATTAGTTTTAAGTTTATAGTTTAAATTTATTGATTAATTTAATAAAACTATCGGTGGACATTTTCAAATCTAATCGTTGAATTTGAATCAATTATTGCATGTGAGGAGCTGGGCCCCAAGAAACAGGCTAAGAGTAGGGCTACATTTGGCCAAATAATGGTCTGATGGATTGCATAGAATTATAGCCCAGCCCTCAGTTTGAAGATGATTTTTGGGCACAGCAGACCATTTTTTGGCTCTTGGACCTTTAGCCCTCTCCGTTGGAGATGGCCTAAGGTTAAAAAGACGCTTTAAGGTTAAAATTGGAGAAAAATAAAACCAAATATAAATTTATAGTTGTAAAATATAATGTGAATGTCGCACATATAAATGCATGAAGAAGAAAACCAACATGCAACCAAAGTGAATCTTGGTGACAACAATTAAAAGCTTTAGGTGGAAAAGTGATAGGGAGATGAAAAAGTAAAAATAAATGATGACTTTTCACTCATGCCATTATTTCCTACAGGTGTAAGGCTTCCTATTATAAAGGGACACTTGTAGTGTAAAGATCGTCCCATCTTTCTATCTACCTATCTTAGCAAACAATTTGTGCCAATTTTATTCTTTCTCTTACACAAGATCAAAAGTAGAAAGTGAATACCAATCTCCCTCCCTTCTCTAATTGCATTAATTATTTGATACATTTACGAAAACAAACAATGTGATAAATTGCTTCAATTCCACTTCGATCTCTAGCAAAGGTTCTCTGTCTCACTTTTACCTATTTATAACTGTAGTGTTTGTATGAGACTTCAACTTTTTTGGACTAAAAAGCCACCTATAAATTATGGCAGAATATCTAAAATTAATAAAGTGTGAGAAAATCATTCTCTACAGTTTGGTACATGATGCTAGAGGAATACAATCACCTGTTCTATTTGGTGATTTGTAGGGTGTGCAGTGATATTTTTCTTATAAAGGTATTAGGCTCGAACTTGTAAGTAGTAAATTCGGTACCAATTTATTCTACAACTTTTAATGTAAATATATCGTTATACAAAAAACAAAAATAAAATTTTCCATTGTTCTTTTGCATCCCTTAAGCACTACTCTCTTTAAGTGTGACAAAATACCGCAACTAATCGTGCATTGCTTGTATGTGCTATAGCTACCAAGCTTTAACATAAAATCTCTCGCGCACATTATTTTTCACGAGTGAGCGGCAAGATATGGTTAAATCTCAACCTATGGTTTTTGTGTTTGGACGCTTTGGAGAACACTCCAAGCTTTGACACCATTGGGCCGCCGCAATACTTCCATCAAAGTCCAGCAGGATGCTGACTTACTATTCTGGGCCTGTTTGTGGGCCTGTGGATTGTGACGTCACACAAAAGGCGCCACTACCTACCCAAGTTTCAAAACTAGACTGGTAGTTGCGGCCTAAGGTTAACTGCAATTTTCGGTTGGACCGACAGACGGCCAATCAAAATACGACACATCACCATATCTATTCCGCGAAGCAGCGGAACCCGACCCTCCCTTCTCCGGTTCTTTTATGTTCTCTGGCTTGAGTTTCCTTCTTGCATCAGTTTTCATCTGATCCTTCGCAGTTCGTCGTCGTGCTAAAAAAATGTAAGATTTAATTATAAGTATAATTTAATGCATCAAAATTAAGTTTCTGATAATTTTTTTCAGAGATTAAAGCTTTTGAGTCGTTATTTTTGTACATATTTTGGATTGTTTTCTTCTAATGTTTGCACCTTTATTGCTGATTGAGTTTAGGGTTACTTAGAATCTGTTTGGTTCCTGAGAAAATATCAGGAAAGGTTAAAAATATGGAATTGGAATGCTATTTTATGTGTTTTTAGTGATCAAACATATAGACCATGTTTATGTTTTGTTAGAGCATTTGATTTTCACTACTTGCTTAAGTTAAAAGTGATTTTTGAGCAACAAATTTGCGCACTTTTTGTTGCAGTTGTCGAAAATGGGTACTGAATTTAGAGCTGGTTTGGTCACTTCCTTTCTGTTTCTGCTTCTTTCCCATGTGGTGATTTCCACACCCAATGATGGGTTGGTCAGAATTGGACTGAAAAAGATGAAAATAGATCAAACTTGTCATCTGAATAGAAGAAGTAATGGAACGCCGGGAGGTACGATTAGGAAGTATCATTTACGCAGTAATCTTGGGGAGTCTGAGGACACTGATATCGTTGCACTAAAGAACTATATGGATGCTCAGTATTTTGGTGAGATTGGTATTGGAACTCCTGCTCAGAAGTTCACTGTGATATTTGACACTGGAAGTTCTAATCTTTGGGTGCCCTCAGCAAAGTGTTATTTCTCGGTATAGCTCAGAAAGTCATTTTTTTTCATTTTTGTAATTCTTTTTGTATTAGAAATGTTTAGTCAAATGAAGTTTTCTTACAAGTTGGTTGGCTTTCAAATTGGATTGCAGGTTGCTTGCTATTTACATCCCAAGTACAAGTCTAGCCAGTCAAGTACATACACAAAGAATGGTACGCTTCCATTCCCCGTTTCAATTCATTCACTTTCTTATAAGATTTTGACAGTCCAATGGGAGTGATCAACCATATCCTTAGCTGCTTAACGGGATTTTGGGGTTTTTTTGGGGGGGGGGGGGGGGGGGGGGGGGCGTGGTGCGGCGCGAACTGACACTCTTTAAAGATTGATATAGAGACTGATTGTAAGTTTTGTTCGTAAGCCGTGTTTCATATTCCAATGTAGGCAAATCTGCGGCAATCCAGTATGGCACTGGTGCAATTTCAGGTTTCTTCAGCCAGGACCATGTCCAAGTTGGCGATCTTGTTGTCCAGGATCAGGTTTGTTTTCTTGACAGAAAGTAGATTTGGTGATGTTTGGTGTTGTGGACTTTACCTTTGCTATTTTTGTTGGTTATAGGACTTTATTGAGGCAACCAAAGAGCCTGGCGTCACGTTCGTGGCTGCTAAGTTTGATGGTATTCTTGGACTTGGTTTCCAAGAGATCTCAGTCGGAGATGCTGTTCCTGTCTGGTAATTCAGTGCCACTTTGTTCGTAAAAATCATGAATCAGTCGATTCAATTTATAAATTAAAACTAACACTCCAAATTCTGTATTTTACTTGCCTCTCCACAGTTGTAAGTCCTCGTTGCTAATCTATTTTTACTGTACATTTGCTATTATAACAGGTATAATTTGGTCAATCAAGGTCTTGTTAAAGAACCAGTTTTCTCATTTTGGTTAAATCGCAATACTGAAGGGGAAGAAGGGGGTGAGATTGTCTTTGGTGGGGTTGATTCTAGTCATTTCAAGGGTGAGCATACATATGTTCCCGTGACTCAAAAAGGCTACTGGCAGGTTCGCTATCCAAAATCTTTTCATCTTTTGCAGATTTTTCTACTTGATATATTTTTTTGTTTCATACTTGCTTTTTGTTTCTGTTATTTGCAGTTTGATATGGGTGATGTCTTAATTGGTGGTGAATCATCTGGTACTGATCCGGAACTTGTTTTTGAAACCTTATTATGTCTAGAGTAGATGCTTCCTATGGCCTCGGCCAGCTTGCTTGTTATTGTATTTGAAAGATTGCCATCGCACTTTCCAGGATATTGTGCAAGTGGTTGTTCAGCAATTGCGGATTCAGGAACCTCCCTATTGGCTGGGCCAACGGTATGCCTTGTCGATACTCTTATTTCTTAGTACTCAGTTGCCAATATATCAAGAAGCACAGCACATGACATACAGATACAATGCTAAGGCATATCCGTTGCTTACAGGAATCCCAGTTCAACCGTGATCTTATCATGCTTATATTCACATTTAGCACTTCTGATTAATGTTATTAACTTATTTTATAATCTCGCTTTTTCAGACTGTTATAACTCAAATCAATCATGCCATTGGAGCCTCTGGTGTTGTAAGCCAGGAATGTAAGATAGTGGTTGAACAGTATGGGAAAACCATTATAGAAATGTTGGTAGCCAAGGTATATAGATTTGAGTTTTACTTAACATTTCTATTGGTGCATTTTAATGAAACTTTCCTGTTCTTTAATCATTTTAATTGATATAAGTAGATAATATTGCTTGGTCAGTTTCTCTTTGGTTCTGCTTGCCATAAAATCTCCTTGCAGTAAATTGAATTTTTCTTTTACTGGCATGTTTTATAGGCACAACCCCAAAAGATCTGCTCTCAAATTGGTTTCTGTACTTTTGACGGAACTCGTGGTGTGAGGTTAGATGCAGTTCAACCTATTTTCTGAAAGTTATGGTAGAAGGGATGGTGGTAATAATGAGCTAATTAGGTCATCCTGGTTTTAATGTGCCTACGTCTTTACAGCACGGGGATTGAAAGTATGGTGGATCAGAAACAAGAAAAGAAATCTGATGGCGTGCATGATGCTACATGTGCTGCTTGTGAGATGGCAGTGGTGTGGATGCAGAATAAGCTAATGAAAAATCAGACGGAGGAGCAGATCTTGGATTATGTCAATCAGGTAACTCAACTTCCCTATCATCTCTATGTGAAACGTCCCTTGCAGCATGCTCATCTTGGCATTTGCACTTGCAGCTCTGTGAACGACTTCCCAGTCCCAGTGGAGAATCAGTAGTAGAGTGTGATGCTCTATCTTCATTGCCCAGTGTCTCATTTACCATTGGTGCTAAAGTATTTGACCTTGCTCCAGAACAGGTATGGTGTCGTGACATTACCCTAAATCTTTTCATCTCGTTTGAGCACGCGAGTAAACTACTTATCGACTTTATGTACATGCCCTATTGTGAAACGATCTCCAATTTTCCGTCCTTTTTGTACTTAATCTTGAAGCTTCCTGAATCTAATTTCTGGAAATCTAGTAGTACACACGAGATTGTGTATTTTTCAGTCTCTACAATCCATATAGGCCCCAAGGATGACCTAAGCAGTTTTCGTAAGCTATTTTCCAATCTAACTTCATTAACCATGAAGCAGTTATACATATAGCTAGGTTGTCAGACTTAAACTTTTACCGGTTACTGGTTAGGTTTCCGAATAGTCTTAGAATTGATTTTATGCGTGCAATATGTTGTTTTTGTGGAACTGCGTTAATACACTTACGAAAGACTTATCAACTTCGAGCTGTCATAGTGAGTTCTCTGCTGGAAACTGTACTGTAGTACATTTTAGTATCAGTTACTATTCGCATTACATTTATTTTTTTTCGGTACAAAGGATACGATGAATGACATTTAATTATTGCCACAGTAGATATTATGGAAGTTGATGGATTATTATCATTGTTGATAAAACCATTCTTCGCCCTTTTTGGCCGGTATTCAATTGTTCATTTCGTGTGTTATCTGTTGGTATCAGTACGTTCTCAAAGTTGGGGAGGGAGTCGCAGCTCAATGCATCAGCGGATTCATAGCTTTAGACATCGCACCTCCTCGTGGACCACTGTGGTATTTATCTCTTTGAACTTCTACCTTCTTTCCAGCAATGTCACACAGAAATAATTTGCAACTAAAAACAATGGTGTATATGCATGTGATGCAGGATTTTGGGAGACGTTTTCATGGGTAAGTATCACACCGTGTTCGACTACGGAAACTCGTCAGTTGGATTTGCAGAAGCAGCTTAGACGCAGGGCTGATTCTATATTTTCTGCTTGCCTACTTTTGTATGTAATCTCTACTTACATCACAAAAAGTTAGATACAATGGAAGTTGTTTATGTGATGGATGATGGACACGATCCTTGGATAATCTTGCATCTGTGAATAAATCAGGACAAGATTTGCTAACTTCTGTACAAGAAAACTTGGTATTGCAATATATACATGGTGTTGAAATTGACAATTTCGTTTTCTTTAATTTTTTTGCAATACCTAACTTTTATCAAGTGTCCATGTTTCACACAGGGTGGCCTAAGGGTTGGGAACGAATTTCTGATCCGTATTCTAAACGTCACTTCTTCGGTTCGATTCCTGACGCTGGTGACTAATGGGAATTGAAATGGCTTTGTAAGTCTTTTCGGCCTCTAAAAAAATTAAATTACTGTAGCAAAATCATCAGCTGGGGTTTTTATGAAGAAAAAAAAAAACTTTTATCAAGCGTCACAATGACTCCAATGTGACATGAGACATCTTCAGGCTTCTGCCAATATTTGTACACGTGGCTAATTGCAAAACCATTTTATAAAAAGCTGATATCATTTGTTTGCATTTTGAGCTCACAGATGAAGCAAAAAAACCTTAGGGGCTTTAACAAAAAAATTCCGGTACTGTTCACTTTAACAAAAAATTATATTTTTATACTAAAAAGTCAATCATGGTACCATTCATTTTATCTTTTATTTTGTTATTTTTGTAAAAACTCAAAGTTTTCAAGTCATTTTCATTAGTTTTTCCAAAAACGTTTCCTTCCTCCACCTTCGATGTTGTTGTTGCTGGTATTCCAGCCCAAAATTGTGTGATTCACTTTGAAATATCACTAGCATGTAACTCTACATGATCGATTTGAAATACTGTCAGTGTAGGTCTTAATTGCATGCGAGTTTTGTTTTAGGAATCACGCCTGCATGCAATAGTAGTGTTAATGATATACGTGTATAAGAATCATATGCGATTTCATCAATACTACGTTGATAGTTTTTCAAATTAATCATGTATTATTATATAAGAAAATCAAAATATTTAAGTGTCACATGACAATGCTCAATTAACTTAAGATACCATCACATGACATTTCGAGTTTTACCTACAAATCACAATTATATGTTCTAGAAGCGTTAACGATATGATATCGTTTTCAATTTGGACTCGCCTAAGTACGTGGTTGAAGCAGAAAGAGACACAATATTGGAAAGCACTTTTAGTCATCAAAGTCTCTAACTAACAAACTACAAGGTGACATATAAACAAACTTGTTACGTGTGCCGAGTCATTTATGATTTCCATCTGTCCCATCACCCACACAGACAGATAGAACGAAAGCACTTCCTCTAACGGCACGTCCAAGCAAGCAAATCCATTATCCATCTTTACTCATTGAGATGCCGGCTACAACAAACCCTAGCTATCATGCTAAACCAAAGCAAACCCTCATTTAAATTTTCCAACAACCCTAACAACTCACAACATTGTAAAACTCAAATAATTTTAGATGAAGCACAAATTAGGTCAAGGTAAACTGATACCATGACTCGCAATCGAGGTCTTGGCATTTTGAAATTGATTAAGACACCGACGTCTATGACTTGGCCTGAGGACTGAGGACTGATGATGCCCTGAACAAATATGATGTCGTCATAACAGATCATTGTGAATTGAAATTCCTAAATTTTGGACTTTGGGTATGGCATTACCCCCAAAATACTGATTAGCTCCATGCCATTTGCATGATTGGCTGCGTTGTTGTTACTTCAGCTCACCGGCCTCATGCTTTGCGTTTAAAACGAGCTAAGATAAGTGGGGCTGCGAACTTTATAAGCAAATATTTTTAGGGCAAATAATGGTCCAAATCAAGTAGGACCAATGCAGTTCATAGGGTTTCAAGTTCTTGTTTCATCTTATGCCAAATCAAAAGTGCAAAGCCTTTAATTCAGTACCCTTTAATTGTTAGAAAAGCTAGCAAAGATGGCAAGCTCACACTCACAATGTTACATGAAACGGGGTAATTGTTAAGAGTATGAGTCTCACATTAGGGAAAGAATGAACTTTGCATGTGCTGGTTAGAAGTAATTGGGCGGCTTTTATGGTGAAACCCCAACTTCTTTTATGGTAACAGAGCAGATTGTCTCACATGTGAAGTCCAACGGGACGTGCTCCACATCACCTGATTTGTGTTGTCCACGTGTTAAACTTGAACATTCGCCACACGTGAGGGGACGTGTTAAGAGTACAAGTCCCACATTGGGAAAATAATTAACCTTGCATGTGCTTATAAGCAATTGAACTCTCCTTCATATTACCAATTTATTTTATAGTGAAACCCATATTCTTTGGGTAATTGCTATCATAATATCTTGGTCTAATAATATGATAATGGTTATCATGATGTCTTGATGTAATAATATGATAATATTTGCAAGTTTCTCTTGACATTGTACTGTGCTATTTCACTGAAACACCATACATACGAACTGCTTGATGCAAGTTGCTCTGCAGAGTCACAACTATATGGTTTAATTTACAAGAAAAAGCATTCTGCAATTTGTTTATCCTCTGCCGCAAGGGAGACATAAGCCACCTATCATTAGTGTGCCGAGGACCACAGCCCACACCAACAACCCTTCCTTTTTGTACTTTTCATTTCAATTGCATCAAAGGCACGTAAACCTTGTCACTTCCACAAATACAACACACATAAAACGTGCCCTTTAATAACCCTCAACACCTACGTGTTCCATTCCCTATGGTTCATTTTAGCCTCCAATTGCACGAGTAACGAGTACTGAATGATGAGTTTTTCTCTCATTGAAAATGAACTAGAATCATATACGAAAATGTTATATTGTCATTGCTTCGTTGGATTGGAAATCTGTGTCACACATTAGTTAATTCAATCTCGAATTCAAATAATATTGTTCATATTCTTAGTCATATTATAGTTTGAATCTAACTCTGAATATGTACCGCATATTTAGTCAACTCATGTTTAATTATGTTATTTAGTTTTACCGTGCTTGTCATAATATTGTTCAACATTTGATTGTGAATCTGTAACACACAATAGTTTAACACATTCTTAGTAATGTTTTTTAGTTTCAGTCTACAACTCAAGTATTTTTCTTGCAACATAACACTGGTAAGGAAACATTACTCTAATTATATATAAACATAACTTATGTATAGTTATCTTACAAGCCACGCATAAAATTTGAGAATTGTTGGTGGGGATACTCACTCTTGGTCCAACTAACTAAACAAGTTTTGGACAGAAATTAGATATTTAGATGGTGGTTAAGTATGTGTGTGAGTGAGACAACAAATAGAAGATTTTTAATTAGGTTTTTGTTGCCATTTTACTTTTATAACCCCAAAAACAACTAATCTCACCTGCTTATTTACTGTGGATATTGTTTAGTCAATCGGGACTCACTTTGTTTTCCCCCTTTTTTTGCTTCTGAATTGATTCCTCTCTTTAACTCTTTCGCAAGTTCAAACCACCACCCCACTTTCTAGCTTTTATTGGTGCATCAAGTTTATCTACCATCTTGTGTTTTATTAATTAAAGAGTCGATCAAATATACTATATAATTTAATTTAATTTAACCACTGCAAGGTGGCTTAATGGTTAGTGAAGAATTTCAGGCTAGTATTTCACACAGTTCATCTTGAATTCAATTTTTAGCGTTGGTGAATCATACGATGATAGCCATTGGAAGGTTGAAATGTCTCTATGAGTTTTTTCAACCTCCAAAAGGCTGAACTACCTTGGCGATACCACCAATTGGCCCCACTTAAAGAGAAAAACAAAAAAATAATATAATACAATTTATAGATATTCATATATACATATTGAAAAATGCTAGGGAAATCATATTTTGTAGACCACACATGATGTGATCGTTAATGGTTGGATATCTTCTTTAATGATTAAAAAAAAAAAAAAACTCATCAACGTACATCATATGATCTACAAAAATAATTTAAGAAGATCATCTATCTACCATCACCCATTCATATATTTTTTTGGTTGGCATAATAATGTAGCGTGTACGTACGGTGGAAGTTAGAGATCGAACGACGTTTAATATTTCAATTAATTTTAAAATAAAAAAAATAAAAAAGTTTAAGAGTAGATGAATTCACATGAGGTTTTTTTTTTTTTTGGGAAATGAAACATGAGGTTTGAAGCAACAAAACGTAGCACATGCATTAATGAACCCTTATATATGCTACGTGTGGTTTATTAGTGATTAATATAATTTAATGGTTTCATTCCCTTCGTTATTTAATTATAATTAATGGTATGTACCTTCTAATTTACTACCAAGATTATTCTTTTAGTGCCTTAAATGACACTTTTCGTCCATGATTATAACTTCTTTTTATTATTGTTCTTTCTAGAAAGGATGAAAGTGCTTTATTTAGCATGGTAGAAATCATGTTCACACTCATGTCATGGTAGTTTCTTTTGTGGTGTGTAAGTTACATTTGTGAATCATCGTCTTTCCTTTTGGTGTCCCGAGTACACGGCACAGTAGATCAAGATTAATAACACAATTAATTGGAAATTAAAATTAAAATTTTTTTTACCTAATTAACACTTGGTGTACTAGATTGTATTTCTGGCTCACTGAAGAATTTCTCATGAAATTGGGATGAATTATTTTAGAGATGGTGCTATCCACACATATTTTTACCTATCACATATTCCTTGTTAATTTTTACCCTTTGATTTTCTTCAATTTGTTCGATTCGATAGTCGAAATACGAAAAAGAGGTATAGAAGATAAAAATGTTGAGTGACGGCATATCATCAATCATGATAATCCATCGGCAAAGGGTCAATGCAACTTTAGATGGGGTATGTCAAAGATCTGAAAAATAACTAGTGTCACAAAATAACAATATAAATTTGCTACGAAAAATTAAGAGACATGTTAAGGAGATTCTCTTAAAAGTGGAATTTTTTATGAATTATTTGTCACCTCATGTTTTGGTACAATGTTTTAGAACATCATTCATAGATCATTTTTGCAAAAACTTCGACAAATCTAAAACCATTAAGACATTTATTTGTAGTGAAGAAAGTTGATGAATACGACTCTACAAAGAAATTATAAACTCTTAATCCAACAATCATATGGTTTCAAACTTGGGTGATTTTTGGTAAACATGCTCTTTGAGAAAAGAAAGATCTAAAAGATATACGATTCGAATCGTTGAAATACATTATGAAGTGGGTTGCACACAAAAAATGTCAAAAATTGTGTAAAAAAAATAGTATCATAGATCCGTCCCGATATATATATTTTTAGTTGGTGAAGACAATTTAGACAAATTAGACAAATAAATAAAATTTGCAGACATTGTTTTAGATCAGGTAAAGCACATTCTTTGAATTTTTGATGTGCCGGTGATGACAATACAAATTTCAACAAAATATGGGGGTGAAGCATTATAATCTTAAGTCAATCAAATTATGTAGCTTCAATTGAGGAAAATTTTGGGTTATTGATTCCTGAACAGAAAAATTACGAATATTGCCTTTGCATAAATTCCACTAATCCAAGATATCTCATTCTAAGTTGTGAATCTATTTAACCGTGACCAAAGGTAGGGTACAATTCCCAATTAGCCTCTTTCGAGTACGAATGAGTAGACAACCATGGTTCGTTACCAATTATTCATTTAAAAAAAAAAAAAAAAAAAAAAATCTAGGGTACCAAAAATCATTTTAAAAAGAAAAGGATTATGCAATGGTGGTAGAGTAAAAATTGGTCAATGCCTACATACAAAAAATAATTATTATCTTGTCTTAACCCTCCTTTTAATTATACCAAATTGGCATATTCCTTTTCTCAACCAAAGAAAGACTTCAAATTTGACAAGACTTGTATGTAGAGTGGCAAACCACATGCTTAAATTCAACCATATACCAAAACTAAAAATTGAGAAAGTGATACTAAAATTCAACCCTGTTTTGGTGGTTCAACGCACCCCCTAACACCTTACCCAATTTTAATTTCACACATCCTTCCAAATTACAGAATCCCATCCCATTAGCATTATCCAATCCAAGCTAACTCTATCCAACCTCTCCCATCTCTTGCACCAAACCAAAACCAAATGTCTACCCCAATTTTCCGGTTTGCAGTTGCATGAGGGAGTTTTCAATGTGTCGGGAGCACGGCCAGCATACCAAGTGTTATAATACAAGTGGTTTGATACTTGAAAAAAAAAAATTTCAACCACTTATATTATAACACTTAGCATACTGGACCGTATTTTCGACGTATTGAAAAATTTCTCACAGTTGCACACTCTTAAACCCCATTGTTGACACGTGTTGGCATCTTATTTTGCCAAATCACACCCGTATAGGAGGCCAATGCCGTCAACCCCACCCAAATTTCGACACTTGGCCGAATTAAGTTAGGGAATTGTCAACCGTAATGGCGGTAGAGAGAGAGAGAGAGAGACCCAACCAACCAATTAAACTACCCCCTTAAAATATGCCACCTTATATTTGCAAGTGAGTTGGTCCATATATAAAGGCGAAGGCAATAGGCATCTTAACCAACACAAAAGTTTTGTATTTTGTACATTCTATTCTTTGCTCATCACCAAATGGAATGGACAAGAGGCTGCACCATTGGCCAAGGCTCATCAGCCACCGTCTCCTTAGCCACTTCTTGCCGCTCCGGTGACAAGTTTGCCGTCAAGTCCGCTGAAATGTTCCATTCCGAGTTCTTGCAAAGGGAGCAGAAAATTTTCTCTGTTTTGAGCAGTCCACATATAGTAAGCTACATGGGGCATGACATTACTAGTGAGAACAACAAGCTCGTGTACAATCTTCTCATGGAGTACATGCCCGGCGGCACGATCATCGATGCAATTCACAGCAGTGGAGGCCTAGTTGACGAATCAATAATCAGAAACTACACGAGGGGAATGGTGAAAGGGCTAGACTACTTGCATTCACTTGGGTTGGTACATTGTGACATAAAAGGCAGGAACATCTTGGTTGGTGAAAACGGTCCAAAAATTGCAGATTTTGGATGTGCTAGGTGGGCTAATCCGGCAGGAGCTTCCGTCGCCACAATTGGCGGCACGCCAATGTTTATGGCGCCGGAGGTGGCACGCGGAGAAGAGCAGGGGTTCGCGTGCGATGTATGGGCTCTCGGGTGTACAATTATCGAAATGGCTACCGGAGGATCAGCACCGTGGCCTAATGCAGCTGACCCAGTAACTGTTCTTTATCAAATTGCATACTCTAATGAGTTGCCTGAGATTCCAAGCTTCCTCTCAGATCAAGCAAAGCACTTTTTGGAAAAGTGCTTACGGAGGGACCCAACGGAGCGTTGGACGGCTAGTCAGCTTCTAAAGCATTCATTTCTTGGGGAGGAAGAAGAAGAAAAAGTTTTAATTAGTTTTTCTAGCAGTACAAAACAAGTTCAAGGATCCACTTCATTTTCTCCAACAAGTATTCTCGATCAAGATATATGGAATTCTTTTGGGGAATCAGAGACTTCGGGCAGCCTTGATCGAAACCCGAGTTTCGAAAACTCCTCCGATGATCAGAGGATCAGGCGGCTGTCATTGTTTTCGGGGGACCCCGGGTGGAGTTGGGATGATGAAACTTGGATCACTGTTAGAGGGAATGATTGTGATGAAAGCAACAGTATCGCGGATGATGATGAAGCTGTAGGTAGTGAGGAGGATTTGGATTTAAATTTCTTAGATTGCAATAATCTTAGTTGTAGAATTAATGTGGATATTTTAGAGGCCTGCAAAAATGGTAGGAGAAATAGTAGTAGTGTAGGTTTGAGCAATCTCCTTCTTGAGAGGGACAGACTCGACAGCGACAATTTGTTGCTTCCTTCAGTTTCAAGCTTTTGGTAATCATAAAAATCTTTATTTTTCTGTCTGTTCTTTTGTTTTACTGCGGTTACTTTTAGTCCGGATGGTGTTGAGTGAACATAATAAGCACAACAACCGCACAAAAGACTATCTTTGTGCTAGTAAGCTCTGTTAAGTTCACACTGTCACGCGATATTATTAATCCTTTCACGTTATAACAATATCTTAAAGATATGTTTGAGATTGCTTTTAGAAAGCGTACATAATTTATAACAGCTAAAAGCGTTTTTAAATGCGTTTGACATAAAAAGTTAAAAGTGTTTCTGAGTCATAGAAGCGTTTTCTGGAGAATAACTTATTGAATGCTTCTTTTGGAAGTAGTTAGATTCTTTTAAAATATCAATGTGATCCAGTTGAAAGTATTTTGAGCATAAATGCCTATGAACAGAAGTGCTTCCTACCAAAACAATCACAAACGAGACTTAAGTATATGAAATATCTTTCATACATATATTATGACACGAATGCCACTAACATGGTAAAACTCCCAGAACAGAGTGACAGTCCGATTGAAAAACTTCTTGTGCTGGTGGGCCAGTTTGGCTTAATTCCCATGGCATAGAGGAGGAGCCATAATACTAGTTCTTGGTAGAAAAGGTGTATGCTCATCAGTTTCTTCATTTGGTAGGTAAAAGAAGGGTGCCAAATTGGGTGTCTACAGTTCCATTCTGCCAACTGCTGCTCGAGTTTGGTGTAGTTCCTCAAATGCAAGTGGCTTAGGAATTAAAATTTTCAGGTCAATATTTACTGTTCTTGGCAACTGTCAGAAAAGATGGGCTAGTTTGAGTTGGTATTTGGTAAGCCAGGAACCAACATTTAAAACTGGATCACCAGATTTCTGTTCCCTCTGTTGAAAATAAAAACCAATTGACAAATTTGCAATCATAATCTTATATCCTTCAAAGAATATGCAACACCATTTGGGTGGATATAGTTCTTCCAAGATGAATTGGCCTAAAGTTTTGTTAGTAGCTGGAGAAAGGGTCTAGAAGCACCGGAAGTTTTCAATTCAATACTAATTCACAAACTTTTTTATTAACAATTATGTAATAAAAAAGATATTTGCCTCTCATTTCACAATTGTTGAGATTTAATAATCTTTGATTGAGGATGAGCGCATTGATATTTTTAATTACAAAATAAATCTTTTATTGAGGACTTAGGTATAAACTATAAAGAGGAGTCATGAAAGGACCACGATGCATGGTCACAGGCCCAATTTGATATTTTCTTTCACGCTAAAAAGTTTAGTGTTATGCTTCTAATTTTTAAGGTTTTTCCGTAAGTTTAGGGGTCCACTATGACGTTTTTACTTTAATTTCTTTCATCGATTTTGATTTGAGGTTAATGGCTCCTATGCAGTGGGATAGCCAAGAATTTACATTAAGGAGGTCACGAACAAGAAAATTCTCAAAACTATATATACTTTCATTTATAATTGGTGACTACATATTCTCATATTTTTGAACGTCGTATCACAACATTATTATCAATAGAATCAAATACATTTTTCATTGTACGTAACCAAGTAATCATTAAACTATTGATGTCCATTCATCTTCATTGTATACAACCAAGTTATTATTCACCATTGATTTTTATATGATGTGAATTCTTTACAATATTGATCACTAAAAATGGTCTCCCCATTTTGGAAAGGTTGTAGTTTTGGTATGTTTTAATTAAAAAATATTGATAAATGGTCTCTATGTGCTGTTTGCCTTTAGCTATTATAGGGGTTATATAAAAATTCAAAGGGGAGATATTTGAAGTTATTAGGGTCAGTGGCAGTCAATGACCCATATTGACCTCGCCACTATTCCTATGGAGTTCAAGCAATTCGTTGCTTATAAGTTTTGAGGAGGAGGGAGAGAGGAAGAAAGTCAGAGAGGTTTAGGGTTTACATCTAAAGAAATGATGATGAGGACGACACCATATCTGATCCAAACTACAGTGGTCGGTTGCTCAACACACTGAAAAGTTAATTTTGTAAGATTAGGAGAGCATTTCATATTGAGACTCTTGATATAGGCTTTGCATGATTAAACAAAATGGGCACATTTCTCAAGCCTCAAGGTTGACCTACAAATTATAATTACAAACCAAAGCATTTGCTACAAAAGAGAACATGAACTGCAGGTACACCGTACTTACATGCATAGTAGAACAAATGAACATGATATTCTAGTAGTGCTTACTGTTTCAAATGTAGCATATCCCCTAACAAATTGAAATTTCCCGGTACCTGAAATCGCCTATAGTTCTCTAATCTCCTCAAATTGCTTACTAATTCCTTTATCTCCTAAGTGCTGCCATTGTACTCCTTGTTTGTGAACACAATCGATATCAATACAAGGGCATTTCGTCCTTCCAATCCCGATGTCATAGTTAACCCTTGAGCCCTGCCAACGGAGGCTGAGTTTGGGTCTAAGCCTTCCGTTATGGGTCATCAACGGTGTAAATTGTGGCAAATTGGGTGTAGCTCCAAAGCTTGCCGGAAATACCTACAAGTGGAATGTCTGTGGCATTTGGACCGGCAGTGATGTCTTGAAGGTAGAGGGAGAGTTGGGTTTCTTTGGACTTGGGAGTAGCTCGGACTGGAAGTGGAAATGGAGCCATGGCTAGAACCATGACTAGTATTATGAATTGAGCACTGAGCTTTGGTACGAAGTTTAATGCCATTGGTTAATGCATTGGAGCTAATTGAGAAACGAAGAACAAGCAATTTAGCTTTAGAAATAGCTTTGTGATCTTCAGTTTCATACGGTTAGGGTTTCAAATTATAATTTGAACAAGGGAGCAATTATTTAACTTCTAATTTTTATGCAAAATAATTTATTTACAATATATGTAACAATCTATGCAAGTGTATTATTTTCATGCTAGTGTATTGTTTGTTGCAAGTTTTTCCTAGTTTGTATCAACTCCCACTGGCCTTGTGGTTTTTTTCAATTGGGGCCTTTTGGCTCACCCTTTGTAATTGCTTGCCTGCTTTTGGCTTCTTTGAATCTACGATCTTTCGAATAAAAATAAATAAAAATGCAAGGCATGAGAAATAACATAAAGGATTATCAAGCCATTCTCTCTCCCTCTCTCTCTTTGCCACAACCTTTTAGTAAAATATATCACAACGCATTATCTCATGTTGTTGTGAATTGAAAGTTTTTTTGCTACAAACTCGTTCACAAGATTCACCATCATAATTCAAATTATTTTAAAACACGGTCTAAATTGTTGATATTTTTTCAGTCTGATTGCATGAAACATTGTTTTTTTTTTTTCCGGTTGAGCATGAACCCTAATTTTCGATTGCTGAATTTTATATTTTACTGAAATTATTATTTACAGTTAATCAGTTATATTATATTACTGTTGTTGTAATTGTCATGAATTGCATCTTTGTGAGTAACAAAGGAGCAATTATTTAACTTCTTAATTAGTTGCATGTTCCTTTCAATACTAATCCACAACCTATTTGTTAATGTTTTGAAATTTTGTAATATTATTGAATCTGCATATAATTAAACATCCCTTTCACTTGCAGTCAAATTTGAGCATTGCCAAATTAGGTTGAAGCCATTCAGCCATTTGACCACCATTAAAGTCTGCATTGAATCCCCTACAAATTAATGAATGTAAACAAATAGCATGTCATTTTAGGGTTAGAACAGCTGTATGCCTAACCTATGCAGAGTAGGCATCATATTCAGTAATAGGGGATCATAACTTCCTAAAGTATTTCCCATACAACCGGCTCTTTTTTCCCGAATTTTTAGTCGAGGGCAAAACAATTGCGGAAAATTTTATTAGAACTCAATTATCTTATCTCTATATCTTACTAGAATTTTTTCTCCACCAAACTTGCAAATTTGTCCTTAAATAATTAAGAATAAGAGAATAAAAGAATATAAACATTGGTGTTTCTATCTCTATACCCAGTGACCCAAAACCTAGCACACCACTACACCCCTCCATTATTTCCGGCAAAACCAACCTAAGACCATCTCCAACCCTTGGGCTAAAAGCCAAAATGTTTAGCCCCGAAAATTTAGCTTGTAGCCCAGAAAGAGTTTTTCTGCTCCAACTCTTCTAGCCTAATTTTTTTTAGCCCGACATTATTAAAGAATAAATTTAGGCTAATTTTTTCTTTTAAATTAACTTTAAAAAAAATTATGTACACTATCGTAAATTAATTTTATAGACATTTTAACCTAAAAATATTTAGATTCCGATAAATATTGAAAAATTACTAAATCGTAAATTATTCTTAAGTTAAATATTTTTTTAATTATTTTAGCAGTTAGATTTAAATTTGGGCCATTACATTTTTTTTTTTACCATTTTATTTGATTATATTCAATTTCAACCGTTGGATTCAATAAATATATAAATATAAAACTAAAAAAAATTGTTTGAATCTAGGCCGTTAGATTAACCAACGGCCCATTTAATCTAGCTGTTGGATCACAAATATAGCCGTTAGACTATCCGACACATGGGTGGGGTCCCGCTGTGATTGTCTCTGGCACATTCCGTGCGTTGGCAAGTGTGGGATCAGCAAGTGGGTTTCACAGCCCACTTTTCAATCACATTGGTGGGGCCCACACCAAATCCTGGGCTAATTCTTGGGGGGGGGGGTATTTAGCTTTTGTTTGGCATTTCACTTTTAGCCCAAACTTTTAGCTTCGGTTGGGCTGTGTTAGGTTTGGAGGGGGAATAAATGGGAAAAGTTGGCCTTTAGCCCAGGATTGAGTTTGGTCTAAGTGCCGGCAAAATAGTCCCTCGAGGCTATCGATAAACGTTATATCCTTCCATTCTTTTAAATTTTTGTTAATATAAAAATTATAAATCTAACTAGTTTAAAAACCCTATTAAAATCGGAATCCCCTCTTCTTTCCTCAGTAATAACCAAAGCAAGCTTGAAGATGGTAACCATAAGACCAATTTGTTTTCGTCATAACAATCCGTTTCTTGTTATAAAATAGGTCAAAGTTAGCAAGATAACCT